ATCCACTGGCGTGATTGGTTACAATGAGGTGACCCGTGTGAGCAAAGGCCCGGTTGTGGTGAAAGCTGATCCAGTGTCGTCTTCCTCTGTTTAGGCAACATATTTGCAAGAAGAATCTCAATGGCATATAATTCCTTTAAGTGCATGGCGTGTATATGAATGCATAATGGATACTGTGAACTGCGTACTTTGTCTGGCATGCATATGTAGCTATAAATACGTACGCATCAAAATATTTCCTGTTAATTTTAGCGTCAGCTATGCTTTGAAGGTTACCCACTAGTTTAGATATGACATGAGAACAAGGAACCTGCAATTTAATATTGCACCCATGTTATGAGAATTACATTAACCTCTTGTCTTTGTGGTCACCTACCTGCAAGACAAGGAGAGGAAACCGATGATAATGGTGCCAAGGGAATTCAAATGAGCCGAGTGCAAGGTTAGATTGTCTGGTTTGGGGGGGGGGGTGTGACATCAGGATGGGTCACTGTGCCATAAATCAGGTGGAGCCACACAGCCCTGTAGAGGTACAGACAGGTGGTGTGTTTTGGGGAGGTCGAGGGTATTCAACGGATATCCTGCAATGTCAGCAGTAAAAGGCGGGATTATTCCATTTGGCTGACAGACACGTCTGTGTCAGCAGTTTGATGTCTGGCCGATGGTGCCGTTGACCTGTATTCCAGGTCCTGCTGTGGTGTTAGTGCGCCCAAAGGGAATGAATGGATCTAAGAACCTCAGGGGTGTAAGTCTGACCCAGCCCAGTTTGATTGTGGCTTCCTGTGACTTCAGCAATTGAAATGGCATGGTGGGATTTCAAGGGTAAACCTGATTGTGAACTGATATTCCTCAAAAAAGCAGCACTGGGATTTAAGATATCGCACAAGCTTCCTTGGCTAGTTGGAGTATCTGTGACGTCCCGGCCAGTATCAGTGAGGCAAATGAGTCATCATCCAATAACTTGTGGGATAGCCTGGCTGACCTTGTTCTGACTCTCAGGTGTGATCTACCTGAAGAACATGGTAACTCAGTACTGGAGTGAGGGGGAGAACTTGAGTGCAGAAGCCCCTGTAACCAACATTCCTGATGAGGACCGACAGTTCATCCGGGACAACATTGTGGAGGCCATCATCCACTCTCCCGAACGTATCCGGTAAGCTCTTCTGGCTGGGGCATGGCTGCATCCTCACAGACCTCCCCCATATTTTGTTGCCCTCTTCTGATACGGTGTTCTGCTCAGGGTACAGCTCACGACGTGCATTCATCACATGATCAAGCATGACTACCCCGGCAAGTGGACAGCCATCGTGGACAAGATCGGCTACTACCTTCAGTCGGACAACAGCGCCGGCTGGCTGGGCATCCTGCTCTGCCTCTACCAGCTGGTCAAGAACTATGAGTAAGAGTCCCGCCTGGTGCTGTCGCAGGCTCATGTTCGAGGGGGTTGTGGTATTCTTAAGGATGGTAGAAGCAGCTCTGGCTGACACGGGGTGGTTCACTGCGTAGGTACAAGAAGCCGGACGAGCGCAGCCCGCTGGTGGCGGCCATGCAGATCTTCATGCCCATGCTGAAAGATCGCTTCATCCAGCTGTTGCCCAACTCCTCCAGCGACTCTGTACTTGTCCAAAAGCAGATCTTCAAGATCCTCTACGCTCTCTTTCAGGTACTGCCCTGCGCCCATCCACCTGGTGACCCTAAATTTGTTCTTCGGTGCGAACCTGTGAACATCAGACCGATTGTGCTATTTATGGTGACCTCCGTTCTAAGGTTATGCGTCTGGGTGCTTCCTGGCCGCTAAGCTGGGTTGAGGATCGAGGAGTTCGTGTGAGCCGCTTGCTCTTGTCTGTTGAAATGCGTCCAGTTTGTGCCGGACCCGCTGACAGAAGTGTGGGTGGCATTGCTGCGGGGCCATCTGTTAGGGTGACGAGGCTCTTGTAGCGTGACATCACCGCAGGTCCCCTGGCTGTCTCCATCACTATTTTGCCCTGTGCCTCTTATCTCTATCACTGTTGGCATGACCAGCATGCCAAAGATAACATGGAGGGATTCCATGGCTGAATTCTTGTAACCTTTGTATTTTCTACCTAGTTTGTCATCATGCCAACTCTGTTTTGATATCCCAACAGTACAACCTGCCATTGGAGCTGATTAACCGGCAGAACCTAGCAGAGTGGATGGAGATTCTGAAGACTGTGGTGGATCGAGATGTTCCTCAGGTATAATCTGCAGATTTTCTGAGCTCTATTTTGTAGGCAGTAGTTAATTTCTGTAAATGTTAATAGTTTTTGTGTTTTAGTTATGCGTCTTACAGAATTAAATTTTTTTTGGGACAGTTCACAGCTGAAATCTGTCCATGTGCAATTAGATTTAATTTTTTTTCTTTCTATGTTGTGTAACTTACCCTGTTGACCTGAATATAAGACTCCCCCCCCCCTCAAAATACGTCTGAAAGTGGTGTCTTTTATTTGGGGTCTAGACAATAAAAGTAACAGATGGCGCCAAATATGATTTCTTGCCTGAGCATGAGCTCAGCGTGAGTGAGAAAAGCATGAGTGTCATGCCAGATGTGTGAATTGCTGGCTTCCCTGGCAATGCATGTGTTTAGCGTGTATCCCTGACTGTCATGGGAATTGTTGGCTTCCTTGGAAATGCGTGTGTTTAGCGTGTATCCCTGAGTGTCGTGTGAATTGTTGGCATCCCTGGCAATGCGTGTGTTTAGCGTGTATCCCTGAGTGTCGTGTGAATTGCTGGCTTCCTTGGCTGTGCCGCTGCTACTGTTAAGCCCATACTGGCTGTTAATAAGGATAGTAAGATTAATTTTAAAAGCTATCTGATCATTTATTTATATGGCTCAACCGTTGAGCGCTTA